AAATGAATAGCTTATTCACCGGCTTTGACTTCTAAAAAGACATAATTTACAATAAATTTCATTTTTGTATCACAATTATATTGTTAACTGTTTTAAATGTTATTAAAAAAACTGCTTTTATATTCTTCATTCGCTAAGAAAAAAAAATGTTCAGCACAAACTTACAAAACAGAATTGAATAGGTATGTTACAAAAAGATAATTAAATATAAATAAAAAATTAAAAAGAGAACAAACTAAGTATTTCTATTTAATATTTATATTTACACTATTCATAAGTTGATTTATTCAGTTTATAAGAGACTTTATTTTTAAATACTTACTATAATAATTGCTTAAAATGACTGCATCAAAAATGATGTAATCATGGTAATTGAAAGGTCAACTAATGTACAGTACAGCCATGATCTCATAAATGTAATTTGATAGGAGATCTAGGTAGATCTAACATACCTACTTACTTAAATGAGAATAATTTATTTTTACCAACCATTCCATCTCCATTCTTCACAAAAGGGAAAACAAATAAATATAGTGGTGAAAATCTTGATGCTACTAAATCTACAATACCAACAATTATTATAATAAATAAATAATTTTTTTGACTATGATTTATAAAAAAATTACTATTCAATACAATTATGCATAACAGAATATTTTTTTAAATATATTTCACCTTAACTATTTCAGATTTAGTAACATAAATAGCATATCTTAATACAGACAAAATTCGTATGTGATATATAACAGACAAATTATCCATACCCTGCAAATAAATTCTGCAAAATGCAGTATACTTTTAAAGGTAACCATATTTTATAATGAAATATTAACATAACTTTATATTAAACACTTTGTCTTTTTAAAGAGTATATCTAACTTAATACATTTGTTTTTCTTTCCAATCTGGCATGTGAATGAGCTTCGAACATACAAAAGGGGGCAAAATATTGATTGTAAGTTGTAACTCACCATAACAAGCCGGCAATGCTGTAAGAATACTTAAAATTTCGTCCACACGTCCAAAAAATAACTTTAAATTAGTCGTAATAATCACCTAAAAGCACTTCACTATTAACATTCAGTAATATCATTCACAATAAACTGAAAACACGGATTTCACACAACGTTACACCAGCCCCGACACAGTACGCGAACGCGACGAAATATCAAACAAGAAATTGAATATTGGAATAGCATAGCCTGACAGAAACCGCCACACACAGGCAAAATGACGTATTATCTACTGTCATAACAGTTTGACATTACGTACAGTCACTTTGACAATTGTGCAAATGACAACTATAATGTGTCAATTGGATCGCATATCGTAGAGTATAATAATCGATTAATAAAAGGTAAATGTATTCTCTGTAGTATATATTTTAGGTTCAGTCTAGATAAATATTAGGAATAGGTTTATGAAACTCATAGTTTTTATTGATGTTAACATGTATCTCGCACTCTTTGAAATACAAAAGTAGTCATAGATTTAAATTTTAGCTATGATATTTCTGGAACACATGTTTCAGCTGTACAATTCGTCACAGCGAATATTAGCTAGATTGCTGTACGTATTTGTTTGAAAACATTTTTATCTTAGATTCTTTATGATAATTAATCGGTCTTATTTTATAGCATCACTAGTATCTTCATTTTTTGGTCACGTTGGCAAAACTGCCATTTTCGGTTTTTGGTTTTTATTACGGTGTTTCATTTCCGACTCGATCTTATTAATCAGTGGATAGATATTTTAGTAGTTTGTCTTATGTCTGTCATGAAATTAAACTTAAATGATATCTCATGAAATGTTTGGTTACAGATGTCCAACATTATAAATACTTTCAGTTTTTTCGTTTAAGCAATCTATTAGACCTTAGTAGTTTTAGATTGTTACAAACTTTTGGAATAACACAATTTTATCCTATTTTCTAACTGAATACTTGATTTTTTTAAATTCATGATGTAATATAATGCGTAATTTAAATGTCATATTTATCGTTTTAGCTAAGTCGTTTCTTTTAAATTACTTTTGACCTGCATCCAATATTGTAGTTGAATATCAATAATTAATTTGGGTTAAATTAACAAAAAAAAAAATGACCTATAGATGACGCCATTTTTTTTAATTTTATAGAATTTTTACTGCAAGATTTACTTTAGTTACCTGTAATCATTTATTTGTTTTTTAATAAGTGCGTTTACTATATGTTTTGCAATAAAAAAGGGATGAAAATAATGTGTCAGAAAAAATGAAATGACCAATTCCTTCAATTTCAATGTAAAAAATAATGTCAACATTGTTACTACTATATTCGATTTAATATATGTCTAGTAATAACAAGGCAGTAATAATAAATAAAATATGTTTATTGTTCTTCTTAATAATTAAATTACAAATAGTATTGAGGCTATTCCAGTAAGTTTATTACTAACTTGTGTTGGAACAGCCTCCCTCCTTCCCGTATTATCTAAATTAAAAGATTGACATTTAGTTTATAATTATGTTGATTAACGTTGGTCAGCTAAAAATGTGTGTGTGAGACTGTGCATTATTTGAATGCATGAATGTGTAAGTAAATGTGTTTGTGTAATGTGTGAGTGTATGTTTGTAAAAAGTAAAATAAGTAATCATAATTGTTCTTCGAAAAAATTTTATAGTATGTAAGCATCGAGTATAGTTTAACTTAGTCTATTCAGGATCAGTTCAGTTTACTCGTATGTTGCTTTTTTGAGCCATTCAGTTAAAGCTACTTTGGCCTGGCGAGAAATCAATAGATAGATGTTTATTTTTAAATTGATTCTATTATATATATAGTTGGATTGTGTGCTATATTGACGTCTCGCAAAGGCAGTGTGTACCTTTGGAAGATTTGCTACTGTATCGCGTCGTCTTTTTTAAATATACTGTGATGCGTTATACTGTAATGTTTTATGTGAACATAAAGTTATTAGCAAGATATATAATTTTCGGACTGACAATAGCCCTCTTGTGATATAGAGATCTTGTGTGTAGTATCTAGAAGGTTTAAAATACATAACTTTCAAGAGTGCTCATTGTGCTCTTTCTATCTCCTAGAATTTTGTTTTAGTTGCCCCACCCCAAACGGGTATACAATATGTTATAATTGATTGAGCTAGTGCGGTATATACCCTATTTAATAGTTGAGAAGTCATGACATGGCGCAAATTTTTGAAAACCCAAATGAGTTTTCTAACTCTGGACATTGTAGTTTCAATATGAAAATACCACGACAGCCGTTGGTCTAATACAACTCCCGAGTATTTTAAAGTTGCAACTCTTTTTATATTCTCACAACTACAAGAGCGGTAAATTTGAAGGCCACACGTGTGAATCCTGATTGTAAAGTCTTCACGCGGTTGGGATTTTTGACTTGTACCAAAACTGATATAATTTGTTTTTAGAACATTAAGCGTTAAAAAGTTTTTCATTCAGCCAGTCAGCTATTACTAGCATTCCAAGATACCCCATCTTCCAGATATTTTCATCGAGTTACACGTATTGTAATGTTTAACTCGACAACATCGCACATTATTATTATTCACAATCTATTTATCTCTTATCTTGTCAAAGGTATTATTGTATTTTCCAATTATTTTGGTTATCATGAGGTATTCAAAACATCAATCGAATAGTGCCATCTAGTCTAATTTTCATCTAAAATCTATCAAAAGAGATTAAATCTTGGTACTTATCTATAATCCGGAAGGGCTAAAACATCGCTAAAGTATAACAATGGCATATAATAGCGCCATCTAGGATGCATTTTAAACATTAAAGCTATCTGATACACGAAAGATGTCTGTCAATTTATGGCTTTTGATCCCTCTGTTTTGATAATATGTTCGTTCGTAACAACTTCGGGGATACGAGAAATATGGTAAAAAAACACATTATTTCAAAAACCCATTTATTTTACCTTCGACATCACATGCTAGTATACAAGATTTATAAAAATATCCACACTTACACGCAGCCATTATACACAAATTATCATAATTTTGAAAAACATAGAAAAAGTATAAAAAAACGTAAATAAAAACCTTTTACTTTGTCTATTAATCTCATTAAATATTTGCGAACCTAGCAAATATATAAGATGCCTCTATACGTACTTTAGCATTGTGGTAATAAAACAGAGCGTACGTACAATATTACGTCACTGGTTCAACGAAGGCCTTATCCGATTTTTAATAAACATTATTTAATGTAAAGTATATCACAACTGATAATTAAAAAATTAAAAAAATAAGAATCAGTAAATAATTAATATAAGAAATTAAAAAAAACATACTTAGCATATAATTATTCTAATAGGTTATTTTACACAAAATTATTGGTCTCTTTGTCAGTGCAACAGTAGCGATATTCTTAAGAATTCTTAAGTCTATATTTATCATCTGTGACTCAATAGTCTACTTAATATTAACTCTAAATCACAAAACACTATCACATTTTCTTCAAACCCTAAGGTGTAAGTCCTAAGGATAAGGACGCCTGTTATTTCTTTATAATAGTACTTTATTATTTATAATAATAGTTTAGAATATAAATTCAATCGAATCAAGAATGCAACTTATCTAAAGAGATTTTAAACTGATCCGTTTTTCAATCAAAACGATATTTAAATAAAACACTTTTAACGGTTGAAACGCGAATTGAATTAGTTTTAAAGCGTTCAAAGTGCAACTACTTAATAAAACTACTTCAAAGGCACCCTAAACTTTTCTATTACAAATTTTACTTTACAATGTAATATAATACAAATCTAGTCGCATTCTTGATCAAATCATATTACGTAATATAGAAATCTAACCGCCATCGAGATACATTGGATATAATACCATTTACCCTAAGTTCGATTTGGTATAGGTTTTCCACAAAACGACAGTTTAAACTACTCGTCGATAGATGGAGCTAGCATCTACAGCGTATGCGTACGCACAACGTATTGTGAAGGTCATAGGACTGCTGATTCGTCATTCCTTAGGCACTTCTGATTCACTGCTTGGTTTCGCTTCGATAGCTGGTGGTGCCAGAGGAGTCACGGCTGGAACATCTTTTTCTAAAGGTCTAAACGACCAGTTGCCTGCACCGTCGAACTCTAGCACGTGCGTGTGATATTTCCTGAAAAAAATAGACATAAATATATTTTTATTTATAGTTAAGTAGGTAATCAGTCCAATCAAAAACCCACATACAATATGTGTACCCTTATTACGTTTGTCGTGTTCCTTTGTTCTTAACAGAATAAAAATATGAAGAGGATTTTGTATAAACAAAGGTTTTTACAGATATTTTAAATTTTATTATTTGGTAGGTGTATACCAGAAAGAGTATTTGGTGATTCTTATTTGCATGAAATATATTTAAAAAAATGCAAATTTAAATTGCGCACTTAAACGCAAATTTTGCGAAATAACGCTGCAATACAGCCAGTATGGAGTAAAGTGACGTCACGACCTTGAATTGACCATTTTTGTATGCTGATACTATGATCAATCTACATGTATTTGTACCAAACATTTAAGTGATTGAAGTAATAAAACTAGTTACAAATTTATTTATTAGTGCAAAGAACAGAAAAGTTTTAACACTAGGAAGCAAGGTAGTTTATATCACTGTTAATAAGCAAGTGACGTCATCATAAACCCGACCAATCAGGAGCGTTTTATGTCAAATAAAAAAAAATTGCGGTTACTTATTTAAATCAAATACAATTTTTAATACTGACTGTTTGACTATTTATAAACCTATACTTAATATAGGTAACAGTAATTGACGCTATATTTTTCGCATGGTCAAACTAAACAAAAACTTTGCATCATCAGATGTTAGCTCCTTGATTGCTCGAAGAATTTGTTTAATAATTAAAATTCCATAACTTACCATACACTGGGCCTATGTGTTATCGATAGTAAAGTGATTCCTTCTTTGATAGCCTCTTCGTACATAACTACTTCCGTTTCCATGGAAACGGCACTTGTGCATTCATCCAGCAAGGCGTACACGGGTCTGTGGATGAGAAATGTAAAAAAATTAAAAATATTGGTCAAAAAGATTTTCTTAATTTAGGAATTACTAGACTACGTAGTATTTAAATAAAACACTTTTAACAGATTGAAACGCTAAATACATTAGTGAACTTCAGACGTGCCATAGCTATGGTCACGTGCTGATACAAAGCATCCGAAACGTCGTACTTGATTAACAAATTCAAATTTTCACCTGAAATTAAAATCGTTAGTAAAAAATTACGACAGGGACCTTACGCATCACACCATGTGCTTTACTTACCGATTGGTAAATCAATTGAGTTACCGCGTCCTATCCACCAAAGGTTCAAGACCTACCCTTCTAAAATTTTTCACCGTACAATCAATTTCTAATTGTTTAGAATCTATTGAAACATGCACCCCTCTTGCAATATTACACGTTTTAAACCGTTAAAGGCATTTTTTTTTTCTACTGTCGTAAACTGCAGGCAACACTACATCTTATTTGGTTATTAAATTACCTGTGATAAAACATCCTTGCGCACGCGACGCGTTGCTTCTCCCCACCTGAGAGAGTAGCGCGCCAATCACACACGGCGCGCAACCCACCGTGTCTAGCTGCGCACGCGTCGAGACGCACGACACGCAGGATGTGCATCGCACGCGCTTCCGCCTCGACGTCATCGTCAGCGACACGAGACGGATAAGTTATTTGGTCGATCAGAGATCCCATTGACATGTATGGCCTGGAAATGGAAATAATATAAACTTTAAGAAAATACTGGAAAATTCCACTTCACAGAAAATGCTAGTCTGTTTTCACTCGTAATGCTATTTATGATAAAGGAAGATAGAAAAGCATGGGGTTATTTTGATGGTTGGTGCAGCCACGTACCATCTACAAAATGCCCTGTCCACCTATTGTGGCTTTGGTTATTCGGGAAATCCATTGACTGAGACCAAATAAAGGATAAAACTTTACGGTTTTTTTTATGTTGGCTGAGGAATATCTTGATATTCCTATTTTTTTATATCCAAATTTCCAGATTTATATATTAGTATAGAATAATTTACATTAATTAGAAACATATTGGACAGGACAATGGGACGACTCACAGGGGTTCACTGGATGGTAAACCCCAAGTATATAACATGTAAACAAAAGGTGCTATAGGTCTTTTGGCTCGGATATTAAAAAGACTCAAGCCGAAACGCGATAAAATTTAATAATTGATTGAGAAACTGTTTATAAAAAATGAGGGAAAATCTTTATGATTTAAATTTTAAAGGATGTAAATCAACTAATATTTAAAGCAGGAACAGCAACCACGGGTTTGAGTTATAAAATTCTATTTGTGTTGATTAGAGCATTTATAGGCTATAAAACGTCGACCTGTGACTAATACAAACAAGCAAAGATACAACAAGAAATGTGAAAAAATTGGGCAAATTATTCATCATTATGGATTTTCGAGGTGCTATACGCTGCGAAAACTCCTTGGGTTCAAAATACCCAATAAATATGTAGGAAAAACTGATTTCTCTTAAAAATGTTCTAAGGAAAGTCCGCGACGCTATATGTCTATCTTTTAAGATTTACTTGCAAGAACGACGGAAAGGGACGCGACAAACGTCGTGGGTGACCAGTTTATAAAGGTGAAGGGGTTTTCAAAAATGAATTTGGATGCCCAAAATAACGATTCTCGCGGACGAAGTTGGTGACACAGATAGTATTAGTATAGTTGGGGGTGTCAATATCTTTATGAATTAATTTCTTAGCTTTATAGGCATATAACTTAAAAATGGAGTATTCAAGATGTTGGTGGTACCTTTGTGGTATGTAGAACATCATGGGTCGGTTAGTACAATGCGGGGGTGCACTGGGCTCGCCGGCGCAGTGAGCGCACTCACAAGGCTGTGGCACGCTTAACTCGCCGCCAAACACCGGCCACAGACCGGAGATGATGCGGAACAAACTGAAAAAAGAGACAATTACAAAATGAGTATTTGGTGCATAATATTATTAATAATAAAATTGTGATAGAGAAGGACAGACAAGCAAGGAGTCCACTTAACACAAAAAGATATGTTGTCGACCTTTGGCTTGGGATATTGGAAAATACAAAGATTGAAAGTGAAGCTCGAAAAATGTTTACATCTTATCTGTAGATGGTGGTTCATTTTTTAAATTTATAATGGTTAATAAATTATTTTTTATCCGATCGTTTTTAACGCAAAAGAAAAAACTACAGTTTAAATACAACACTCGTAACGGTTTAAAACGCGAAATATATCAGTTAACTTATTTTTAATTATGATTAGCATTGCGATAAGCTCGAGAGGTCCCGGGTTCGAATCCCAATAAAAGTCAGGAACGGCACAAAAATCTTATCAACTACTGGCCTGTAAGTAAAACCTAATAGTGAAAGGGACACGGAAATGTGTTCGCACCGTGCCCCACTGGGAGGTTTTCCCAACGATTTTTTTTATTATTTTTCCTACGGCCATGTGCGTAGTTTTTTTAGGTGGCCTTATTTTTGTAGAACTCAATAAAAATATATGCTACTCTTTACTACTCTTACCTAGACTTGCCGCAGCCATTAGGTCCAACTATTAAGAGGTGGGTTCCCGGGGTCAGGTCCAGGCTCACCCCACTCGCGACTACGTCACAGGCTGGCGTCACAATTGGTACGTTGCGTACGCGTATTGATAAATCGTTCGTGTACGTCACTTTGCCTGAAAAATCATTGAAATGTCATTAAACCCAGTAGTGTCTTTCTGTTTGAAAAGTATACGTAATGTAATTTCAACCATAATACGTAAGTGTTAAGGTTGAAATTACATTGCGCGAGAGGTGCATGTATCAATAGGTTGATTCCAACATGTTTCAGAAAAATTTGGACTAGGAATGAATCCACAAGCTGTTAGTTGCTGTATTATAGCCGAACTACCATCAGAGCAACAAGCTGGTAATATATTTTGAAATAAATTTTAAATCTAAATTTAAAAAATATTGAAAAAATTTCGACTCGGGCAGGACTTGAACCCTCAGCGTTCCGTACTGTTGCTCTACCAAGAGTACCGAGTCCTACACCTCATCTAATATTATTTAAAATAATACCATTCTTATAAACAAATAACTTATATTAATTAACCAGACACCAGCGATATATAGAAAGAATCTGACCACCGTGTTAAGTGGATTTTGCACCTGACGTACGATTATAAAGTCCAGAGTTCTATCCTTGGTCGTGCAAAAAATTACAATTTTTATGTTTATGTACATTTTGCAACATGATATTTGAGAAAAACTTTTTTTCTTTTGTTCTGTATCGATCGTCGGATGGACGGAAAGAACCCGAATGGATTTGTGATCCATCAATAATATATTATTTATATTGTGTTGTGTTTAAATAAAGGAACCAGAAACTGGTTGTATATATATGTATACATAATAGAACAGCCGCGTTTTTTAAGTTGTGTACTTAAATATTTATCTTTGTGTACAATTTATTAAATGATATCTAAGAAGATACCAGCAAAAGGACCGTCGACGATGCGTCATGTATTGTTACCTACCCATGGGCACTGGCTGTTTATCCCGGAACGTCACTTGGAAGCCATTTGCAGAAGGCGCGGACACGTGCACTGCGCGTACGCATTTCCCGCGCGCCACTTCCCCAAACACGACCAGCATGTCCGAGACGCGCGTCGCGTAACCAGCTAGGGTTACAATTTCCTAGAATGGAAATGAGAATAATTAAAACGGTTTCATGAAAGTTGCTTTTTTGTAGTTATCTGTCGACCTTCTCTGGATTGGTCGCTTTGGCTTTTGGTAAATCGTTTTCGAAATTACAAAAACGCTATGATTGTACGAGTAGCTACAGTAGCTTAAATTAATTACAATTTGAAAATTAGTAAACAAATATAATTCGTGTCTGAAAAAACCACTATAATTAGTAAACAAGTGTTTTAAACCGTTAAAATGTTTTATTTCACCTTATAACTAGACATGAGCCTCTCTATAGCATCTGCGGCTGAGTTTAACAAGTTTCGTGACGTAGTCATGTATTCTGTCCGGGCGCTGATACCTTCCCCTTCGGTGCCTGTAATAATACAATTGTAAGAATGACATTAATTTTAATTTAAGTTTTAATATTTGAAAATTACTTGTACTAGTGGTGTATCTTGTTCTTTATAACATACTGAACATTAAACCCTCTTGTTCGGATATTTTTAATAATATAATATTAGCACTTACCATCTAACTTCTTTCCCGTGAGTATAGGCAAAGCCAACATGACCATCCCAGTGCCAGACCAGACATACTTCATGCAGAACTGCTCCAGCATCACGTACCACAGCTTCTTGTTGAACACCGACGTCATTTGAGCGACCAGCTCTTTGTACGCTGATTGTAATTGACCTAACTCCACCTTAAATATGAAAAAATACATAATATATAACTAACTGTGCCCACGACTTCGTCCGTGTGGAATAGTGACTTGGGGTAGAACTTTTAATTATTTAGGCTGTTTATTAATTTAGGTAAGCGCGCATTTAAGACAGCCAATTTATGGTAAGTGCTACTTTGCCGCAACACTCTCACCTCACATCACTCCTACTCTAACTTCCACTTCCATTCTCACTCCCACCCCCACTCCTATTTCCAAAAAGCCAAAGAAGAAAGTTTTATTGTTCTAGCTTCAAAAATCACGAATTTCCATACAAACTTTCATCCTCCTTTTCAACCCCTATCAACCCTTTTTTCAATAAAAAGCCTATGCCCTTCTAAAATAGCTGTATATCAAATTTCAATCAAATCCGTTCAGTACTTTTGGCGTGAAAGAGTAACAGACAGATAGACAGACAGAGTTACTTTCTCATTTATAATATGAGTAAGGATTCAATAGACGATGATGTTATTGCACATGAAAAGTGAATTCCCGTCTCCCTCGTCCCTTTTTACAAACATTTGATCAAAATATGTGCCCCGCCCCCAGGATTCGGAGACAGGACAACCTCTCGCGCTTAGCCCAATCTCAGGCAACACTTTTAACCAGTTGGTTACAAAGGCAGTCATACATAGGTGATATGATGACCTTATATAGATAAAAAAAATCGGTTTTAGATTGAAAAAAAATATACGACACGGGCAGGGCTTGAACCGACATCAATATTGATTTTGAAAACAATGAATTTTTCTTTTTCAAGTGTTGTCTGGAGGGACCGCTTATTAGTTAAGGCCGTCCTTCGAATACTTGTGTTCATGTAAACATATCTTACATTATGTCCTCCATAGAAAGCGACCTCTTCTGCGTGCGCTATCAGTCTAGAATGTACGTGTCGAAGGTTGGCCTTCATTCTCGCCTCTTCGCCCGCCAGAGCACCGAACCTCGGACTCAGTAGCCGTAGTAATTGACCAGTTAGGCATATTACAAATGTCGCTATTCCAGGTCCTGAATATAAACGCAATATTCTATAAATTGTGTAAGGATTCCGCAGTTATTTTTCAAAGCTACGTGAGTAGTCGCGCGTCTTGAGTGCGGGTAATACACATTTAAATAAAACACTTCGGTTTAAAATGTGAAATAAATAACTAAACTTATTTTGACTATGCCCCTGAAGTTTCAGATGCTTTGCTTCCCATACCCCAAAAGTGTGATGATAGGAACTTCAATATGTCTCTAAGTTCATTGTGGGTTGAATAAAATAATTGCGTAAACGTGGATCTTACCTAAGAATATATTTCCCTTCATTTTGCTAGAATAACTGGCAAGCGTCAAAACGATGAGGAGCAGGTCGAAACATGGCTTCGTGAGGGAACTGTACAAATGTGCTACAGACTGCGCAAACACAGAAACGTCCTCCGTTAATCTGTAAAAAAAAATGTTAACATTAAAATAGCCTAATATAAAATGTACTTAAACTAATATGCATTACATCTTAATGTCATTTCGCAAGAATAAAAGTAAGCTGGGGCGTATTACACGGGATGAAGTATCGTATTAAGCGTTAAGGAATGTATGAAAATATGTACCAATTTAGTGTCCCAGCAGTGATAACTGCATACACATTCATTTACTTTAAATAGATCAATTCAAATCTTAAAAAAAAAACCCTTAAACGGTTTAAAACGCGAAATATACATTTTGAAATTATTTTAGTGAGGCGCGACGTTTCGGATGTTACACAGCAGCCACGGTCACAGGGGACCGGAGTTATTTTCAAATAAGTTTAGCCAATATATTTCGCGTTTTAAACCGTTTAACTGTTATGTTTAATTGCTAGTCGTGTAAACTACATACAGTATTTGATTAACATCTTACCGATGATCAGCATTCTCTATCCGGGCGTCTAAGTTCGCAACTCTATAGTAAGTCTGGTTCTTGAAGTACAGTTCATACGCGTGGTTCACCAATCTGGTTCTGAAGGCCAGAGCCAACCTGCCTTCCAGGTATCGGATCATGGAGTTGATGAAGGTGGCTGGTACAGCGATGCCGAACCATTGCAGAAGTAACGCAGCGAACGCCCGCATATCCTTTTGCACTATGTGTTTTACTGAAAGTAAAATAATAGAAATTTAAAAAACCTGTATTACTCAGTTATGTGCCAAAAATGGGAATAGGTCTTCTATCTATAAGGAGGTATTTATATACAAGTTTGATAGCTGGCTTGTGTGAAGTAGTTTAATTAACACTTTTAACGGTTTAAAACGCGAAATATATAGGTTAACTTATTTATAGATTATTTTCTTTAAATACTTTTTTTTTCATTTATTATAACTACGACCCGACGTTTCGGATGCTTTGAGGAGTCATGATCACAAGGGTGCTGCATAAAATACTTTTCGCGTTTTAATCCGTTTAAAATGTTTTATATTAATGTTTACTACTTGCGAAAACTATAGACAAGAATATTTAGGTAGAAAGCGCGGATAGGTGTGATGATAACTAAGACCGAACTAATATCTCGTCTGACCGGTACTAGAACCCAAGACAAACGAAATAATTATTTAGTTAGTTGAATTAGAAATCGCTAAGTCTAGTAAGTAAGTAATTTACAGAAGAAAATACTAACTAAGCAGTATATACTAAGTTCTTCCCAATGTATTAGCAAAATTATAATTAGATGTCCAAATATGGCTAGTTTCCTTTTATGTATGTATGTTTATTAAATAAAAAAATCAAACACTGTACAAAACACAGTGGCATTCGAATATTGAATTATTTCGATTTTTAAATAAAGAGTAAACAAGCTAATCGCAGTAACAAGTAAATGCATTTTTTAACATCACAATAACATTCGCTGTTGTATTGTTACGAAAAACTACTATATCACATACAGTAGATCTTTGAGAACGATACTTATAATGGTAGGAAGTGAGTTATATTTTCATTTAAATGTGGGAATTAATTACGATCGAGAGATAACAGTTACACACTGTACGTGTTAAATTGTGCGATTAACATAAGTTATAATAATTAATTTTTTCGTGATAATTTCTTAATTAAGAGCTTTATTCAAATAAAACTATATTTGAACGAATACGAACGCGATTTATTGGTTAGTTAATTCACGACGAAGCGGTAAGGATAACTCACGTTTGAAAATAGAGAAAATGAAATTTTACACCGTTGCAACTGTTTTATTTAAATGTTCGTTTCGCGTAAAACGGTTTAAAACACGTAATATATCCTCGTGGCCACGGCTGCTACATTGCTACTAAACGTCGCGTCATAGTTAAAATACAAAAAATATTTAAATCGTATATTTTTGTTTTTTAAGTTACAGGTACGTACCTATAGAACCTTCTAGAGAGGCTACGTATATAGAGAGGAACGTTCTGGTGAAAAGACACAGCGTATGCGCCGACAGCAGGGCCACTTCGTGACTACGGAATCCTGGCACCATAATCTTGGCGAGGGAGACCAGCTGTCTGAGAAACTCCAAGTTCAATCCGGGCACGTGCTCTTCGACTGATTGAGATTGAGTTTCATCGGCGTCCTCCTGGATAGAAGATGACATTATATCGACTTGATAGGTTAGTATGATACTCCTATTATAGCTTAGTGTCTTAACTTCATTGCTTTTTCACATGCGGGCGGTGGTACGTGACCTGGACGGAATTCCGATATTCCTACCACAAATTTAATATCCAGGTTTCCAGACGAAGTCTAACATGTTTCAGAGATGTAATCCATTGTTTAGACTGAACGAAGAACAAACCCACAACCCGTTGATTATTAGCTATAAATTGCTACCATTACACCAATGAGCCTCCTAGTTGTAGTAGTAGACTACTCTACTGCCTACTGTAGTTCGTTTCTAACCTATCTTTCCCATGCCCCCACATTTAAACTCCCAATCACTCGTGTAGTGTTGTAACTTATGACTTGGGGTAAATTTTTTAATTATTTAGGCTGTTTATTAATTTATGTAAGGGCGCATTTAGGGCAGCCAATCTATGTTGTAAGTGCTACTTTGCCGCAACACTCTCACCTCACATCACTCCTACTCTAACTCCTACTCTCATTACTACACTCACTTCCACTCTCACTCTCACTCCCATCCCCACTCCCACTCCTATTCCCAAAAAAAAAATAAAGAAGAAAGTTTCATTGTTCTAGCTAAAAACCACGAATTTCCATACAAACTTTCATCCTCAGGCAGCCAGAGTTACTTTCGCATTTATATTATTAGTATAGATTAAGAACTGATGAGTTTTACTTGTATAGGACACAAAATTTGGTACAAGTGAAGAGAGAATTGTTGTCTCTTCGTTAAACTGTATAAACATGGGACTGAGAAAAGACTTAAATAGTAATAATGGGACAAAGGCATCACTCACAATGTTTTGTTTGTTGTCTGTGTCGACATCACCCCGGCAGAGGGCGCACTGTTCCGCCCCACAACGACCCCCACAGCTTTGTGTTTCAGTGCCTCCATTTTCCACTGATTGTAATTTTCCGTTTTTCGCTACCTGGAAATAGATATTTTAGAATATTAATTAGTATTGTACCTCTTTAAATTGGCAAAAACAGGGACATAACATGGCGCATTAGAGCATTTATCGTGGAAGTTCTTAGGCTATAAAACATCACGATGTGACTAATAGGAGCGAAGAAGCAGCGGGAAATGTGAAAAAAAGGAGGAAAATTTCAAATCTGGATACCCAAACTAACACAGCTAGTATTAAAATAAAGGCTGTGCAAATGTACGTCAATAAAACGCAGACGTTATAACTCTACACGTGCACGACTTACATTTCTGTTCGCCGGAGCAAAGCCGCTTTAGCCTTGCTCATAACAACCATTGCGTAATGTTTATGATTTAAATGCACACCGCTGAGGTTACGGAGGATTTATAATCTATATTTTTTAATCTTCAGCTGTGCAGTTGAAGGCCTTAAAAATCGTATTATTCTTGCACAATTGTTGAGTTTATTCGATGTATTTTTTATTTATTTTGTATTCAAACTATACGAATATACTGCACACAAAGTAAAATTTAGTTTATGTCTTATATCTTTATTGCTAAACATCTCTCATGATTATCGTTATAGAGAGTCACTTTATGGAGCGAATATGAAAGTGTGGGGTTTAACTATCGACCACATTGATATGTTTTCTTAAGATAGGGTATTTATTGCTTTAATGAATAATGTTAAGTCTCGACTTTAGTTTATCCGAGTAGTATACATGTGAATAAAACAGTTTTAACGGTTTAAAAGTCTAAATATATTAGTTAACTTATTTACGATCTATTTTAAGTACGGCCCCACGTTTCGTTTGCTTTGCAGCAGACGGTCGCGTGGTAAAATGAGTTTACGTATATGTTTCACGTTTTAAACCGTCAAAAGTGTGTATATTATACAGTTATAACATGGTATTTGAATTTTACAAAGGTTTTATATAAAGTCACTAACTAATATATTATAATTGTTTTCTAGAAAATATGTCTAACTGCTATAAATGAATAAAGTAGTAGTAGACAGTAGAATGGAGTAAATGCAAGTGCCTTATTTGCTCAAAAGCCATCTCTTACAGGCAATGGAAAAAAAAACATTTTAGAGAATTTAAGATGTACACATAAATACTGCTAAACAAATCAATACAAAAAAAAAATAAGTAAAATTGTAAAAAATAAAAAGTTCATTCGGTTTTTATCTTTAAATTTCTTTTATATTGTTTTGCTTGCTTCACTTGTTCAATTTAATTAAAATTATTTACATATTTTAAATTCGTGGGTAATTTATAAGTTAACCTTAAAAATATAATTAGTATTAACATTGGGTACTTTTCCGAAATTCATTCATAAAAACATGTGAAAGCCCAGAATGAATCATAAATATTAGAAACAAATGACTAATGTATTTATTTTTTTTTATAGCGGTATACTTGTAGCGAGGTAAACCAACGTTCTGTTTGTAAAAGACTAGCTGATCTGGCAAACTGGTAATAATGCATTGATTTCGACTAAATTTGACGACCAAGAAAACAGGTCTTGCGAGTTAATCTTACAAGATTTAAATTTTTAGTTTCTAAATAATGGGAATCATCTCTCTTTATAATAGATTCCCATTAAAAGGGGAATCCTTCTTTCATACATATTTAGTTTTCCCAGAGCACGCAATGGGAACCAAACAATTTTCACAGTTTTCTCGCTCCTATTTGCCTAAACTGAGGCCTTAGCCTTAAGCCTTCTCTCAATAAATGTTCAACATTAAAATATTTATTTTATTCGAAACTCTTCAGCCATAAAATATTAGTATAGATAAATGATTATCAATAAACGGTATTTCTACCAGTGTGCTAAAATTACGTATTCTATACAGCCTATATAGACGCCTATACGAGTATAAAGAAAAGACTATAAAATTAGCGAAATAAAATAGACAAGTTAGTTTCTCTCAAAGACATTTTACAATGAAACAAAACTCAACTAAAATGACGGATTATTATTAGAAACAATATAAATTATTATTGTTGTTTGTAACGTAAAGCATACTCGTATTTAAAAAAATTACAATGCTATTTAGAATTTACTGTAACGCTTCCATTTTTTTATATAGTGTTATTCTTTATACGCGATTAAACGGCTTTTTCAGCTATGGACCGTGGTTCGTGACCTGGACGGTATACCGATGTACCAGACATTTAATATCCAGAATTCCTGACGCAGTTGATAAACTTACCTTATAATTATTATTATTGTGACAAGGTGGGGCTTGCTTCTTCTCGCGGGTTCCGTAGAGAGCACAGGCTGCTAGTGCCACGCCCACGCCCACGCCTACAGCGATCGTCGGCTGAACCCTAAACGCTTGCTCGCGTATCTTCGTCAAAATGGCCGGCATTTTTATTTAATTTCACTCGCTAGGTTTAAGTCTGAACTTGGCAATTTCTCTAAGATCATGTACTTGTATATTACGTGGTGTTTTCCATATGAGATCTTCCGTCAGCCATGTTTCTGAAACAAGAGAAAGAAGATTAGTAAACAACTACAGTCAAGTCCTCCTACTACTAAAACTGAGCCAACAAATAAATAAAACCACATTGTTTCAACTCTTAGATAATAGATACTTTTAAATAGGAAACCCTTTAACGGTTTAAAACGCGATATATTAGCCGTTAAACTATTTAAAAATGTGTATTTTAAACTTTCAAATTGAAAGTCAAAAAACACCGAATTTTCAAGGAAGAGGGCCTCAATTTATCAAACACCTGATCCCATTTAAAAACCTGGATCCCATAAACGCATACCGGCAAACGCGAAACACCGTTAGTCAATTCTGTAAGGACCCGGCCAGTTTCGCCAAATGCCAACTTCGACGGAACAGATGGCGCTAGCGTAGCAATTTTTTATTTTGACGTCAGAACATCCTCCATCTTTAGTCTCCCCGTGAACACGTCTGCTGCAAAGCATCCGAAACGTGCCGAAGTTTCAATTAAGTGTCTACTACTCGCGTAAACTATAGACAGTATTTAGATAGATACCATAAATATGAATACAATAAAACTCCCTGTATCCGCAAAACTTAACGGACGCAAACTTGTACCCGCCTCACCTCACCTAGGTATAGTACGTAACGTTTTACCACTACACTGCACAACAAAGTAATAACTTTGATCAAAGTTGACCGACTGTAAAACAGAAGATTTTTATTAAAAAACCAAATTTGTTAAGATGTGTGTTTTGGCGAGTAGGACACATTTAAATGAAGCAAAATTAACGGTTTAAAATACGAAATTAGTTAACTTTTTTTTAATTTAACATTATTTCGACTTCCAAACGGTTAAAGTGTTTTATTTAAATTAGTATTGAATCGTATAACATTTATTGACCTTTAGAAACGCCTCTGCGTTGTCCTTATCATAATATCCACGATATATATGTAATTAATATCTATCTACAATAAAAATATATATTATTCTATACAATTCTGGTACCATTATTACAAAAGTCCTTTACTATTTTATCAGTATCTGCTTCCGTCATTGATTAAAAGAATTACTATCACTATGTATACAATCTACAAATATACATACATATTACACACATCAATGTATATGTGTTAAACAATTTGAAGGTAATTTCCTAATTGCCAACATTTTATTATATTAGTATGTATTTATTTTTTGTCATACAAATGTTAATATCATTGTGGGTCATGACTCACTTGTGTAATGTTCATACGAAAATATGTGTTAACTACATATATATCTAGTTCTATGATAAGGAGAGTAATTCGTGGAAAGATTGATTTTAAGAAACCGTATTTCCGAATGTTTTCTTCTTATGTATGACGAATTCGGGTTTGATTTCGATTAATTAACTCCCAGTTAAATCACAATCATCACGTCACTATCTAGCTTTGTTTCGACTGTTAACTACCTACACCATTTAAATAAAACACTTAAACAGTTTAAAACGTGATATATATATTAGTTAAACTTTTGAAAATTATTTTAACGACGGCCCCTGACCACGATACTCGAGTAAATTACAGACTGTAATTACCTATACTTATAAAAATAACACATATATACATATTCATATACAAGAAATTCGGTTGTACATTCGGTTTACCGAATTTCAGCTCATCCCTAGTAATCTGGTGTTTTTTTCATACATTACAATTTTAAATACAGATAGAATTGTTTTATAAAAAGCAGATAATAATAAAAAAAACACTATGTTGTTGTAAAAAAAACCTGAAGTATTTTCTACAGTTTGTACCCACACATGTAATGTATAAAACATTTTCGACGGTTTAAAACGCACAAGAAATTTTATTTTCTGAATTAATTTATAGCTTATTTAAACACTAATTTTGTATGAAGTAATGCCTCCTTATAATATAGTAGTAATAAAACAGTAGTATTGATTAAACACAAAAGTTTAACTTTTTGCGACACAAAGTATTGTGAATAATGAATGATTGTAAAAAATCAACAATTAACTCTCGTGAATACAAAAGGATTGCATGACGTATGTATTTACAATAGAAAAATTGAAGCTGGTTAGAAGTGTGTAAGCACTAATCGAATTTAACATTCCAGCTGAGTTTTTACTGTCGAACGTGACTTGAGGGCCAAACCGATTTTAAATCTCATATAATAAGTCTCTATCTATACTAATATATAAAGCTGAAGAGTTTGTTTGTTTGAGCGTACTAATCTTTGGAACTACCGGTTCGAATTGAAAAATTTGAATTTTGTTTTGGTTAGAGCATTTATCGAGGAAGGCTTATTAGGCCATAAAATCTGAGAAAAAAATATAAGAAAATTATTAAATGTTTATTTATTTTATTTATTTATACTTTTTACACAACACGCGCACACAATTACAATGAACTAAAAATAATAATAATATCTACAAAGTATGGAGTGTAGCGGGCGGCCTTATCGCTATTAAGCGATCCCTTCAAGGCGACCCTTTTTAGGAAAAATAATGTAAAACAACTTTATTAGGGAATCGTTATTATGGGTTTCCGACGTACGCTTCAAAAACGGTTTAAGGTACTCCAAAAATATGTATGAAAGAATGATTCCTCTTTAAAGGACCAAAAAAAAAGTCCACGACGCTTAGTGTCTATCTTTTAAGATTAACTTGCAATAACGACGGAAAGGGGCGCGACTGACGTCGTGGGTAAAACTGGTTAAGTTTATAAAGATGAAAGGGGTTTCAAAAACAAATGTGGATGGTCAAAATAGAAATTATTGAAACACACAGCTAGATACAAATATAAGTGATCACCTTCGTGGCTCAACGGTGGAATGAGTTACCGAGAACCTTTGGTTCGAATATCGGCAATACATACTTAATTATAAGTTCTTAAAATTTCATTCATGATTTTTTTTGTAATCTTAACCTTGTGTACAATGCATGTTTTATGTTCAACTATTGGCTACGTGTATGTGCATATATAATTTAAACATGATTATTTAAAGTACTATTAATATGATATTACAAAAAAAACGTAGATACCTTGAATTATATGTCCTTCAATTTGGATAACGACTGTTATCTTAAAATTAGTAATTAATTCATATTAGATAAGATAATTTGTAAATGTACAATTGAATTGACATTAAGTTACTTTTCTCAATAAATATAATTACCTTGGACATTCATTTGCGGACTTAACACAAAACGCGCAATAAAATGTTATAAAAACAAAGCTCTTTGTTAATTTTTGACAAAACAAGTTTCTAAGTAGGCATATTGTTTAAACATTTTTAATGAAATACTGTCTATAATTTACGCGAGTAGTACAAATTTAAATAAAACACTTTAACGGTTTAAAACGCGATATAAAACGTCGGGCCGAAGTTACAAATCATATTCTAATAAGTTAAACTAATATATCGCGTTTTAAACCGTTAAAGCATTTTTAATGGCTTAATTATATATGACCTATACCTTGCTGTCTGCATCAAGAACGATACTAAAAGATGCGCGACGATAGCAACGCCAGAATTAAAAGACAAATATTTTTTTTTGTTGGTAACCAAAATTTTGAAAGAGCGAGATTCGAACTGGCGTACCACAGCGTAGTACTATTGCTCTACGAACTCGGTACTTGGATGATGGACTTCATCTGGAAATCTGGATGTTAAGTGGGTGGTAGAAATATCGAAATCCTGTCCAGGTCACGATACACTTTCCACAGTTGAAAAACTTCAATTGCGCTTTGGTTTCGAACCTCCCCTATCTTAAATAAACTATTCTCAAAAATTCTCATACATCGCTTCATAGAATTCGAGCTCACAAAACCTTACGAAATATGTTACCGTCATGGGAGTCCCAAGAAATAGAATTAACGTCACACCGTAGAATTTCCTTGACCCTGCGACCCAGTACGTCATATATACAAAATATTACTCGTAACTAGTTACATAAGGTAACACCTTGAACCTATGATTGATGGCACCTGAACTAAGACTGCGATGTTGATACTGGCAGTGCACCATTGTTCGTTCAGCCGCAAAAACCACACTTATGATATTAAGCAAAAAGTTAACATTGTTCTTTTATCATCTATACTAATATTAAGCAGGAGTTACTGGTTCGAATTGAAATAGAGGGAAATGTGGTAAAACTGAGAAAATTCATCTTTGTTGCTTTCTGTAGCGTGCGCCGCGAAAACGGTTTAAGGAACCAAAAACATGTATCAGAGAATGATACCTCTTTAAATGGTCTAAAAAAATGCGACAGTCTTTTAAAAATTAATATTTATTCACAGATGAAAAGCGTGAAGTGTAAATCCGCGTTTTACTTTCAGCTAGCATTGTGCAGTTTCTAAAGCCCAAAAAGTCACCAGCGTATCTTATGTAGATGTTATACGATTTTGAATTTCAAAGTGGCTACTCACTTGATGAAAGCTGAATTAGCTTTTGTCCGCCATTTTTGTCTGTCCTTTGTAGCAAAAATGTCTTTTTAACTCTAAACTGACAGCCCTGGTAAATTTCGTCTTTTAAACCACGTCACTTTAAGTTCACCTCTGACGAGAATAGCTGGCATTTCGCAGATTCGTGACGAAAATAATAATCCTTTCAACAAATATGGAATTTATTCGTTAGCTAATTCACATAAAACCATTGATTTACGTTTTGTGAGGCAGTACCTTGATTTATGGGAGAGCGATTCCGCCAAAATACCGTCAACTGATTAAAACGTGACTGGAAAGGTTAATTTTAGTTATCTTTTATAAGAGAGGTCAATCGCCCGTGTACGGGTATTAAAATAATAAACGACAAGAGCTGTTGAAAAAATTATAAATCAAGAAAAATGTTGCGTCAATCTCTTTATAGCGTTTTAGTGAAATCCCGTTTCCCCCTTGGGGTATGGGGC